GACAGGGTTTTGCCATGTTGGCCAGGCTGGTCTCGAACTTCTGACCTCAAGTGATCAGCTTCCCTTGGCCTCCGAAAGTGCTGGGATTACAGGCCTGAGCCACTCCGTCTGGCCCCATTTTTAATTGGATTATTTTCTTTTATTGTTTAGTTTTAAGTGTTTGTATTAGTCCATTCTTATGCCATTAATGAAGACATACCTGAGCCTGGGTAATTTATAAAGGAAAGAGCTTTGATTGACTCACAGTTCAGCATGGCTGGGGAGGCCTCAGAAAACTTACAGTTATGGCAGAAGGGGAAACAAACACGTCCTTTTTCACATGGCGGCAGTGAGAGTGCAGAGTGAAGTGGGGAAAAGCCCCTCATAAAACCATCAGACTTTGTGAGAACTCACTATCACAAGAACAGCATGAGGGTAACCGTCCCCATGATTAAATTACCTCCCTCCAGGTCCCTCCCATGACATGTGAGGATCATGGGAACTCCAATTCAAGATGAGATTTGGGTAGGGACACAACCAAACCACCTCGGTGTTCCTTATATTTTAAAGATTTATATATACACACATAAATGTTTGATCAGATATATCTTTTACAAATATTTCTCCCCATCTATGACTTTTCATTCTCTTGACAGTGTCTTTTGAAGAGCAGGATTTTTTTTTTTTTTTTAATTGAGATGGAGTCTCACTCTGTCGCCCAGGCTGGAGTGCAATGGTGTGATCTTGGCTCACCGTAACCTCCACCTCCTGGGTTCAAGTGATTCTTCTGCCTCAGCCGCCCAAGTAGCTGGGACTGTAGGCATGTACCACCACACCCATCTATCTTCTGTATTTTTAGTAGAGATGGGCTTCACCATGTTGGCCAGGCTGGTTTCGAACTCGTGACGTCAAGTGATCCACCCACCTTAGCCTCCCAAAATGCTGGAATTACAGGCTTGAGCCACCATGCCCAGCCAAAAAGCAAGAATTTTTAATCTTCATTAATTCCAGTTTATCAGTTCTTTCTGTCATGGATTGTGCCTTTGGTTTTGTATCTAAGAAGTCATCACCAAAAGCAAAGGCCATCTTGGCTTTTTCCTATGTTATCTTCAGGAAGTTTTATAGTTTTGTGTTTGACATTCAGGCGGATGATCCATTCTGAGTAAGCTTCTCTGCAGGGTGTGAGGGCTGCATCTACGTTCATTTTTTTTTTTTTTTTTTTTTGCACATGGATGTCCAGCTGATCCACCTGTTAATTATTTCACTATACCGCGCTGCCTTGATTGCTGTAGCTTCCCATGCACTCATCAATCCCTTAAGGTTCACCTCCTCTTCCCCTACCAAACTGCAACCACTCCACTAGTGGCCTTCCAATGGCAAGTCCCATGGATTCTCTCCAGTGTGCCTCTTGTTTGTGACTCCATTCTGTTGTGTGAGCTCATGTTGTGTCACCTTTGCATTGGGGTTTGTAGAGTTGGTCTTCATGTGCTGGCTTTGGGAGGGTGGCCAGACAGGAATGCGGGTTGGGGTCAAGTTCTTGTTATTTACAAGTGCACAGAGCTTCCTTGGGGACATGACACGTGTTTCAGACCCACAGTACCACAGTATTCTGAAGGGGTGTTCTGTGATTCTCACTTCCTAGGCCTTTGGACATCTGTGGCAGAGCAAGTGGTCAATTGGAAAGCTCCACTAAGATGGACCAAGCCAGCATGGATTGAAGGGCTCAGTGGCACTGGGCCTGGGGGAAAGCGGAAAGGGGAGGGCAGCTTCCAGAACCTTCCTGGGGCCTGCCAGTCCTGGCCCTGCTGTAAGTGCTTTGCAGCCCTGGACTGGCTCTGACCTCCTCACAGCCCTGTGGGATAGCCCTAGCCCTGTTTTAGAGAGAGGACACCCATGCACAGAGAATGTTGTCACTTGTTCAGAGTCACAGTTTAGGAAGTGGCAGTGCCAGGATTTGACCTGAGAGTCCATGCTGTTGGCCATGCTGCCTCCCTAACCCCTGCCCTCAGAGGGTCTGAAGAGGTTAGAGAGAAAGACAAGAAGGAAGTGTCGGGGAGTAAGTTGGGAAGCCCTCACCTTCCCCTCTTGTTCTTTAGGCCTTCTTACCTCTTCCCTACTGGTGGAGAAGGGCCCTGGGGCCCTGCCTGGGACTGGTTCCCACCATGGGCCCTGCATGGTGGTGGCTCCTGGAGGCCTCTGTGCCCAGGAAGTCACCTTCCCTGGGGGGCCTGTGGGCCAGAGAGGGGAGGATGTCGCGAGGGATGGCCTGAGGAGCTCCCCTTCTGGAATCCAAGACAGCAGGAGGCAGCAAGTGATCTGGTTTTCATTTGAGAAGGGCTGAGTTGGTGTCCCCATACCAGGACTGTCCTGGGCTGATGCCTCAGGGAACCCTCTCCAGCACACTATCTGCGCTTGCAACCCCAGAGCACCCTTGGGGCACCATGTGGAAGTTTCTACTGTGAGTACCCAGGATGGTACCGCGCTTTCTCCTTGACAAGCGTGGGTTCTAGCAGCTGCAAGCTTAGCTTCTGTCCTGCGCAGGCCTTGGCTCCTAGGCCGTTCAGAAAGTTTCAAGGGAGGAAGTGATGCTACAATCTTTTTTAGTCCTAACTTCCCCATGTTTCCATTTCCTCACTCCCTTGATGCAAAGGACACTCCCTTGATGCAATTCAATTGAATTGACATTTACAGAGTCCCCTTTATGGATATGCTGGACCACATGTGAGTTTCAGGGACAGGCAGATGATTAAAACATAGTTCCTGACTCCCAGGAACCCATGGTCTAGCCCAAAGTATATGCAAGCTATAAATAAGAATAGTAAGTGGGCCAGGTACTGTGGCTCACACCTCTAATACCAGCACCTTACGAGGCTGAGGCAGGTGGATCACGAGTTTGAGACCAGCCTGGCCAACATGGTGAAACCCCTGTCAGTACTAAAAATACAAAAATTAGCCAGGCATGGTGGCAGGCACCTGTAATCCCAGTTATGGGCTGAGGTAGGAGAATTGCTTGAACCCGGGAAGTGGAGGTTGCAGTGCGTCGAGATCATACTGCTGCACTCCAGCCTGGGTGACAGAGTAAGACTCCATCTCAGAGAAAACAAAAAAAGGATAGTAAGTGATACAAAGTAAGCTCTTATAGAGCTTAGGGACTCTGTAAGTGTCAATTCAAATTGAATTGCATCAAGGGAGTTCCTGGTTTAGGGACTGTAACAAGGGAGGCTGCTACCTGGGCACCTTGGAAAGACACATCTAGGCAGCCATGCCAGGCAGAAGACTGGGCCGCTGCAGGTTTAAACCCTGGGCTTCCAGGCCCTAAAAGGGGAACTGGGCCCCGAGGGTGCTGTCCCATCACAAGAAATAACCCTGGATGCCAGTCACCCAGGGCCCTAATGCCTTTCTCAGGCAGGGGCAGGGAGGGGATGAGAAAATGGGAGTGAGGTCGGGCAGTAAGACTGAATCTGGAGAGCCTGGGCGTGCAGCCCGCCCACTGGTCTGCCTTGTCCCTTCCGTGCAAGAGCCGGTGGAAGCTGAGGGTGGTGGAGGGGATCCCAAATGAGCTATCTACCCGGGGCGCCCTCCATCCTCTGGTGCCCCATGCCTTCTCCAAGGACACACCAATCCCCAAACCCAAATCACCCCAGAGCCAAAACTGCTGCTCTTCCCTCCTCAAAGGGCACCCACCCACCTCACTCCCCAACAAAACTCCAAAAGAACTATTTTCTCCACCCCATGTAAACCTCTTTTGGATTAAAGTAATTCCTACTGAAGGAACTCATTCTTTTCTGAACGATCTGTAGGCTAATCTTCCCAGGGTGCATTTGCATTTCAAGTGGAGTGCTTGTACAGTTAGAATTCATCTTTAATTGGCAGAATGAAGGGGTACTTACGGGGGGGGGGGAATGGGGGAAGGCGGACTTTCCCAGGCCCTCCTGGCCCCTCCCCATGCCCTCCTCTCTTCTCCTCAGCACCCGCCCCTCAGTGAGGGGTGGAGCTGGGTGGATTTGGAGGCTGACTAAAGAAACGCACTGTCTATTCTTTCTTTACCAATTAAAACTTTTTATGGTGGACCTAGAGTTGCCAACTTCTAATTTTGTCAGTTTGTTTTATCACGGGTTTCCTAACACCATCACTTCACAGCACCAAAAGATGAAGGAGGAGGTCACTTCAGTCTTCTCAATGGAGTAAATTTAGCTTTACACAAACATGCCACAGGGTTGTTAGATTTTTCGTTTTGCTACAGATTGGTGCAAACCTCACTGGGCGTCGGCATTTGAGAACCACAAACCGGATGGCCCTCGGAGCCCTGCCCAACTCTAAAAGGCCGCAGTTTTCAAATTCCATTGGCACACTGCATTAAAGATGCATCTCTAAATGTGAATCATTGATGATGATGTTAATTTATCATTGTTGCACATAACTTTCTATGATGGAAATGGCTCCAGGAGACAGGACGGTAGAGAGACTGAAGAGCACGGAATAAAGTCAGGAGCAAATGAAGGGACAGAGAGGGAAGAACACCTGCCCCCCAGACCTGTATCCATCTTCCCAGGATGCTCGGTTAGATTCTTGGGCTGCAGGAGGCAGTTTCGTACGCCTGTTCCAGAAATGTGTGTGTGTGCGTGTGTGTGTGCGTGTGTGTGTGTGTGTGTGTGTGTATGTAACCATGCAGTATATGGGCACAGCACCTGACCTTTGTGTAAGCGCCCCCCCCACAAAGCCTCACCCCTTAAAATGTTCCCTGTGGCCTGGCCTTCCCTATGGCACGGTTCCAACCCCCAAGCAAAAGACATGAAGATGTCAGAATGGCAAATGGCAGATGTCTTAGAATGTGGGGGCGGGAGGCGGGGGGTAATGAGAGATGTCAGCTCCGGGAGGACAAGGCCCTGGGCCCTCCAAGGGAGGGGCCGTCTGTTTCCAGCCTGGGTTTGTTTCCTCACCGGCCACCCTGGCCCTGGCTCCTGGTTCTCCCGGGCCTTCCGAGGAGGCTTTGCTCACAGCTTTTCCCATTCTCATTCCAGGTGTGTGTGGCTGCTGCGGTGCCCTGCGCCCCAGGTACAAAAGGCTGGTTGACAACATCTTCCCTGAGGATCCTGAGGTGAGTCACATCTCTGGCAGACATCATGGCTCTCAGCATCTAGGTAGGGCCTCTGACGGGTGGAGTGGCAGCTTGGAAGCCAGGTGGGGAAGGCAGGGCCTCTCAGGGCCCTTGGACACAGCCTTCCCAGGGAAACTGGAACCTGGGCCACAGCCATGGGTAGTGGTGAGAGGCCGCTAGGGACATGAAGGAAGAGGGCATCTGGATCTGCAGAAGGCAGCTGGCAGTTAGCCTTGGCATGCTTGTGGCCGTCACTGTCCAACCAAGACATCTCCTGCGTGTCTCTTTGTGTGATTGCCCCGTGAGCTGCTAACTCTTTTGAGTGGTCGGTCGTAGCTCTGTGCTGGTCAGTATGAAGACACCCCTGTCTTGGGTTGGGCTCAGGAGCCCAGGTCTTTCGCCCTGGCTGCCACCCTCTGGTGTCTGCCAGGTGTCTAGGGGCACATACATAGAGGACCTGGCCTCCAAGCTGCCTCTCCACCTATCAGGCTGCTTTGTGGGTTGTGGTCTGGGAAACATTGGGATCTGAGGTACTTGACTTGCTCTCTGGGAACCAAGGGTCTGTCTGGGTGACAGCACCCTCTGGAGACTTCCCTAAGAGCTGCAGAGGTGCCTTCATCCTGTGCGTATCTTGGTGCCAACTATCCAACATGCTTTAATTTTGGGTGGCTTTTATTTTGGGTGGGTGGCTTTTAAATGATGCTATGTCGTTCATTCCTACACACTCACACACACATGGTATGTATATACATACCCATACACATACGTGTATACATTCATGTGTATATATCCACATACATGCACACACATATATACATTTGTATCACTTACTATTCTTTTTTTGCTTTCCCTGAGATGGAGTCTTGCTCTGTCACCCAGGCTGTAGTGCAGTGGCGTGATCTCGATGCACTGCAACCTCCACTTCCCGGGTTCAAGCAATTCTCCTACCTCAGCCCATAACTGGGATTACAGGCACCTGCCACCATGCCTGGCTAATTTTTGTATTTTTAGTACTGACGGTGGGGGTGGGGTTCATCATGTTAGCCAGGCTGGTCTCAAACTCGTGATCCACCCGCCTCAGCCTCATTAGGTGCTGGTATTAGAGGTGTGAGCCACAGTACCTGGCCCACTTACTATTCTTATTTATAGCTTGCATATACTTTGGGCTAGACCATGGGTTCCTGGGAGTCAGGAACTGTGTTTTAATCGTCTGCCTGTCCCTGAAACTCACATGTGGTCCAGCATATCCATAAAGGGGACTCTGTAAATGTCAATTCAATTGAATTATTATTTTTCTCTAGACTTGAACTCATCTATCCATAGTGTGGCCACAGTGAGCACAAATTGTTTTCTTCCACAGGATGGTCTGGTGAAGACCAACATGGAGAAGCTGACCTTCTACGCCCTCTCAGCTCCAGAAAAACTTGATCGCATTGGTGCCTATCTCTCTGAGAGGCTCATCCGTGACGTGGGTCGTCATCGATATGGGTAAGTGGTTTGTAAAGGAGGGAGAGAGACGTCAGGAACTATATTGTTAGGTTAAACATAGTCCTTTTAGAAAATGTTGGCCAGGCAGAGTGGCTCATGCCTATAATCCCAGCACTTTGGGAGGTCAAGGTGGGAGGATCACTTGAGGCCAAAAATTCAACACTATCCCTTTTTTTTTTTTTTTTTTTTAAGACAGAGTTTCGCTCTTGTTACCCAGGCTGGAGTGCAATGGCGCGATCTCGGCTCACCGCAACCTTCGCCTCCTGGGTTCAGGCAATTCTCCTGCCTCAGCCTCCTGAGTCGCTGGGACTACAGGCATGCGCCACCATGCCCAGCTGATTTTTTGTATTTTTAGTAAAGACGGGGTTTCACCATGTTGACCAGGATGGTCTCGATCTCTTGACCTCATGATCCACCCGCCTCGGCCTCCCAAAGTGCTGGGATTACATGTGTGAGCCACCGCGCCCGGCAAGTTCAACACTATCCTAAGCAACATAGTGAGACTCCATCTCTACAAAAAAATTTAAAAATTAGTTGGGTGTGGTGGTACACACCTAAAGTGCCAGAGCAAGACTTTGTCTCAAAAAAAGGAAAATGATGGTAGACTAGATTATCAAACAGACCAAGAAAATTGGGGCCTGGGACTAAGGAGTATATCCCATGCGATCTTCCAAAGGCAGGGTTGAGCGTGATGCTGCTGCCAAGGTTTGAGAAGAAGGGCGGTTGGCTTCCTACAGGCACCTCTTCCAGCATCCATTCTCTCATGTTTCCATACAAAAGCCCTCATACAGTCTGAGGCTTTAAAAAAAATTAAGGCTATGATTGCACCGCCATCCACATCCAACCTGTCCTGCCTTATCCCACTTACTGCCTTGAAAACTAAGGAGGAGTCATCTACATTCTAGTAAGAAGGCAGAGTTAAGGGCAATTTGTCCATTAAAAATACACTTAGGTGAAATATTTATCAATCTTCTGAAAGAGAAGGACATTCTATGTTTAAAGAGAGAAGAAATCTTAAAGCAAATGACTGATCCACAGACTTAACTGTTGAAAAATTTAAGTATTTTGATGTCAATAAAGAAACACTCAGACCAGGCATGGTGGCTTACGCCTATAATCCCAGCACTTTGGGAGGCCAAGTGGGGAAGATCGCTTGAGTCCAGGAGTTCAAAACCAGCCTGGGCAACATACTGCCCATCTTTACAAAAAATAAAAAGAAAATTAGCTGGGTGTGGTGGTACGCACCTATAGTCCCAGCTACTCAGAAGGATGAGGTGGGAGGATGGCTTGAGCGCAGGAGGTCAAGGCTGCAGTGAGCTATGTTTGTGCCACTGCACTCTAGCCTGGGCGACAGAGACTCTCTCAAAAACAAAAAGAGAAAAGAAATGCTCAAAATATAAGAGACAAACAACAAAAAAGTATATTAAAAAATTAAGACAAAGGGCCAGACACAGTGGCTCATACCTGTAATCAATCCCAGCACTTTGGGAGGTCGAGGCGGGTAGATCACCTGAGGTCAGGAGTTTGAGATCAGCCTGGACAACATGGTGAAACCCTGTCTCTACCAAAAATACAAAAAGTAGCCAGGTATGGTGGCATGCACTTAGTCCCAGCTGCTTGGGAGGCTAAGGCAGGAGAGAGTTGATTGAACCCATGAGGCAGAGGTTGCAGTGAGCTGAGATTGTGCCACTGCACTCCAGCCTGGGTGACAGAGTGACACTCTGTCTCAAATAAATAAATAAAAATAAATTAAGACAAAGGATTCAAATTTATATATTAGTAGCTCATACCAAACAGTGGGTGGAATGGGGAAACTGAGACACTAAGAGATTTGAGGCAAGGACCACAAACAGGAGACTTCAGGAGAGGAGAGAGAGCTTGCCACATACATGGGCACTCAACAGACTTGTGATCACAGATGCATACTGAAATACTAAGATGCTAACTTATCAAATTCATCACAAAGAAAACAGAATTTCCAGTATGACCAATAGATGGCAAAATGGGAAGCATTTTCATTCTTTTCTAGGAAGAGTGCAAATTGGTTGAAACTCTCTAGAAAGTAATTTTGAAATAATGTGTCAAGAGCTTTAAAAACACTTATGTCATTTGACTCAGTAATTTCCATTTCTGTTTGTCTATCCCAAAGAATCTTTTTTTTTTTTTTTTTTTTTTTTGAGACAGGGTCTTGCTCTGTCACCCAGACTAGAGTGCAATGTCATGATCTTGGCTCACTGAAACCTCAGCCTCCTGGGCTCAAGCCATCCTCCCACCTCAGCCTCCCAAGTAGCTGGGACTACAGGCATATGCTATGATTTCTGGCTCATTTTTGTATTTTTTGTAGGGATGAGGTTTTGCCATGTTGCCCAGGCTCGTCTAGAACTCCTGGGCTCAAGCAGTCCTCCCACCTGGGTCTCCCAAAGTGTTGGGATTATGGGTGTGAGCCACTGCGCCAGGCCCCAAGGAATCAATCATAAATACAGTCTACCTTCACATACAGAGATGTTCATTATCATATTATTTATAATAATAAAAAAGTGGGAATAACTTAAATGTCCAGCCAGAGGAGAAGAGTTCAGTGAATTATGTTGTATGTCATTGATAAAATGTTATCTAGTCAATAAAAATGGTGTTTATAAAGATGCTTTCCATATAATTTAGAAAATGCTTGAAGTAAATGAAAACCAAAATCCATAATTATGTAGACAGTATTTGCAATCAAGTTAAAAAATAAACAACAACAACAAATCTCAATGGGTAGAAAATATAGTAAAAACAAGGCCGGGCGCGGTGGCTCAAGCCTGTAATCCCAGCACTTTGGGAGTCCGAGGCGGGTGGATCACGAGGTCAAGAGATCGAGACCATCCTGGTCAACATGGTGAAACCCCGTCTCTACTAAAAGTACAAAAAAAATTAGCTGGGCATGGTGGCGCGTGCCTGTAATCCCAGCTACTCAGGAGGCTGAGGCAGGAGAATTGCCTGAACCCAGGAGGCTGAGGCAGGAGAATTGCCTAAACCCAGGAGGCGGAGGTTGCGGTGAGCCAAGATCGCGCCATTGCACTCCAGCCTGGGTAACATGAGTGAAACTCCGTCTCAAAAAAAAAGAAAATATAGTAAAAACAAACATACTGGCCAGGTGCAATGGCTCATTACTGTAGTCCCAGCACTTTGGGAGGCCAAGGCAGGTGGATCACTTGAGGTCAGGAGTTCAAGACCAGCCTGGTCAACATGGTGAAACCTTGTCTCTATCAAAAAGACAAAAATTAGCTGGGTGTGGTGGCATGTACCTGTAGTCCTAGCTACTTGGGAGGCTAAGGTGGGATAATTGCTTGAACCCCAGGAGGCCGAGGTTACAGTGAGCTGAGATCGTGCTACTACACTCCAGCCTGGGTGACAGAGCAAGACCCTGTCTCAAAAACAATAGCAACAACAAACTAAATGAACATATCAATATGTTAGGAGTACTCATTTTATGAGCAGTGTGGCTCGGGTTTTTTGGTTTTGTTTTGAATCTATTTTTTCTACGTTTTTCCTAAATATTCTTTATGTGGATGTGTTACTTCCACAGTAAAAAACATGAACTATAGGGCATATGGCATTTGCTGCCCAACCATCACACCACGATTCAGAGACCGAATGTCAGGAGAATGCTCAGATATTCCTAGTGGTGTTGCTCATGGGGCTGAGGGTTGGGTGGATTCATTCAGGCCACTGTTCTCAGGTCTGTTGGTTCCATTCTCCACGGAGTCTTTCATAGCCGTCCTCTACTCTTCCCTTTCTCCTGGTCCAGGCTCTTCTCTTTTTGTTCAGATGATGGCAGTAGCCTTGGACATGGTCTCCCTGCTCCCCATCTTTCCTGCTCTGGTCCTTCTGTGTTAATACTGCTATGTATGATCTTCAACACACAGACACCAAGCTGTACTTTTCTAGCTCCTTGAGAAAAAAATCCAGCATCCTCAGCTTGACTTCTGGGGTTTTACACAACCTGCCTGTAACCCAGCCAAGCCCACCACCCCTACCACACCTGCCGTAGACCCACTCCACATGGTCTGGCCGACCCCCCTGATGGCTCTGTGGGCCTTTCTGGTGCTCTCTCACTTTGACCTCTGTTGGGCCTCCCCCTACAATTGCCCACCAGCCCCACCACCATCCAAGGCCCCTTCCTCCTGGCAGGAGAAGACAGAGCCAGTCTTGAACTACAATGAAACGTGCATGATGCTGACAGGGTGTAGAGGTCTAGAAAGCACAGGCCTCACCAGCAAACCTTAAATCAAGCCACCCCTGGTGTAAAAAGCAGGACCCAAACCAATATGTTTCTATGATCATTTCATGTAATAAAATGAGGCTACATCCTAAATAAGAGTGAATCTACCATGCATGCTGATTATATTAGGGGCATTGATATATTGTAAATTATACTCAAGCAAGTCAAAATGACTTTATCGTAGGTTGAACCTAAAACCAACATGCTAGCTCTAACATTAAACATTTAATACTAATTTTGCTGGCCCTCTCTGCGGTGATGGCTCTCTCAGTAAAAAATGTCCTAGAGCCAGCAGAGCCACGTAGAATCATTCTGCTGCCCTTACAACTGCAATTCAAATTTAGTATCATTCTGTTAAAAATAGCCATTGCAGCCTCTAAGTATTTAAAACCTGACGGCCTCACTGAGGGCTTTGTTCGTAAACATTTGGAGAAGAAAAATCTGTGAGATCTGATCTCTTTGCCCTCCCTGTCTTTCCATACCCAATGCCACATACGTCATCATTACCTTTTTCGTCACTGAAGGCAGCTTTGGAAGAGTAAAATATTCTCCTGTAGTCAGGGTGAGAGGCTGTGTCTCCCTGCCATGATGCAGGTGTCTGTATTTGGGGTTTGACCATATGGACATGAACCTTGGATGCCGGACCCAGGAGCAGAACCACCCTCATCTGCCCCATTGCCTCCCCACATTGTCACCCCATTCCAGTTGTGTGTGGACTCTGGCTCATAGGTGTTTA